ATAGCTAAAATAAATAAATAATTAAAAAAGAGAAAAGCAAGAACAGAAGGAAAAAAAAAAACAGAGAAGAAGAAGGAACAAAAAAAACAGAGAAGAAAGAATGGGAAAAAAATAGTGAAGAAAGAAAAAAAAAATAGAGAAGAAGAAGAAGAAGCTGGTTGCCGGAGAAGAAGACAGACAGAGAGAAAAGCAAGAATAGAAGGGAAAAAAGAAAAACAGAGAAGAAAAACCAAAAAAAAAAAAAAAAATAGAGAAGAAAGAAGGAAAAAAAATAGAGAAGACAAAAGAAAAAAAGAAATCAGAGAAAAAAAAGAAAAAGAAAAAAAAAAACAGAGAAGATGAAGAAGAAGAAGAGAAAAAAAATGGTTACTTGGTTGCCGAAGAGAGAGCTTGCCGGAGAGAGAGCTTGACAAAGAGACCCATAGCTCCCAAATATTTCGTACAATAATTGAGCCCTAATTTGGGTTCCTTTACTTTTTTATGTCTTTTTAACTTTTTTGGTGGTAGTGGTTAAGTTACTTTATCACATCAGAATCATCAGATTATTTATTATATAAGGAGAAGAATGTGAAGTCTGAACACAACAAATGTTTAAAAGGCAAAAATAATAGGAAGAAGACAAAGGCGCTCCTTTTTAACTACTTGAGCCTCTCGCCCCAATATAAAAGGCGCGTGCCTTTGTCAACAGCCTCGCCTCAGCATAGTCAAGGCGCTGAAGCTGCACCTTGATGCGCCTGGCGCCCGAGGCGCGCGCTTGGTGCGCCTTTAACAACTATGGTCCCACATGTCTACATATGTATTACAACTTGCCACCTTCACTTAAAACATGTACCCACATACATAGTTAGTAAAATATTGTACGGGAAAACTACGGGCACGGAAACATACGAGTATAATTTGATATTTTTTTTAAAAAAAAATACGTTTGAAAAATTCAACACACACACACACACACACACACACACACACACACACACACATATATATATATATATATATATATATATAAATACGGATACGTACGTATATAATACATTATATGCACTAAAAATTTGGGACCAAAAATTCAGCTATACAAATCTTATTATTTTCTTATATATCATATATTTGTAAGGACGATGAAAAATATGTAACAAATAATAAAATAAATATATTATAATTAACACTATCACAATAATCATAAAAAAAATAAACTATCCAAATATAATTAATCAATAACTATAGGTCCATAACATGATCAATTCATCACAAAATTAATAAAAAAAATTCCAATCCAAATAATCAGCTATGTTGCCTAAACTAAAAATAAAATGCAGTTTGAACCTCTTACGGTACTTTTGAACAAATTTCAATATCTCTACCTTTTACCCCAGATAAATGTGATTTGACTCTTGAAATACCTCCATGATACTTAGAGTTACAACATTCCATCTAATTGTTCAATATGATCCAAAATTGCATCCCTTTTTTTTCCATCTTTCCTTGACAACCTATATATTTATAATAAATGCATAAATATATGGTGTGATACTTGTGAAAATATCTTTATATTCTACTAAAACATCTGGTGAATGTGGTGATTTACAAACTTCAAAAAAATAAATAAAACAATAATAATAATAATAATAAAGATACTAACAAAATTTAAAAGATCTTAAAACAAAACAAAAAATCTATAAATATCTACAAACATCAATAAAAATCTATGATTTTTCAAAATTCCAGTGTTCTACAATGTGTGTGTGTGTATATATATATATATATATATATGTTTCATTACTTTGATTAATGATCAAGCATTTGATTGACAATAACAACAGATTAAAAAAAAAAAAAATAGAGTGATAGTAGAACAATTGAGTGGTCACAGTCTTGCTGAGATTGCACAATAAATAGTACTACTTTGATAGTGTGAAAGAGAAGGGCTATACTAAACAAAAGATGTATTTTGTGTTAAGAATATGTGTTTGAGAAAAATAAATCATCAGAAACGTGAACGAAAAGAAAAAAATAATAATTAGGTTACCTTAAAGTGTAAACATGAATTAAACGGCGACATAAACGAATAAATCGTTACATACGGGGTGATAGAAAAAAATGTATATTTTACCATATCTTTCAAATTTAAACGGCAAATGGGAGTATTTTCCCAAAATTCAATGTGCATACGCGAATTTACTAACTTGGCACACATATACAAAAGCTACACAAAATAAACTAAATGCCCAACTTAACATAAAATAAAATAAATGGTGTCGGGGATAATTCCCGAACACACAATCCAACCGGGCCCACTAATCCGAAGCGAAGAAAATGATCCTAAATGCATTTCTAATAGTCCGTAACTCTAAGGAAGACCCAAAAAATCTCGAAAACCCCGTAGTACATATACCAATATGTCAAAATATGCAATGCACATGAAACAAAAATCATCATATAGCATATGAGCCCTTTGCGATGGATATTCCTACTAGTGTTGCTATATGGTCACAAATATGGTTATGGTTAGGCAATTGTTGGAAGAATGAAGATAATATAGTTGATTTAACTATTTTGGTTTGCTTTCTTAGTTGCCAAATTTGGAAAGGTAGAAAAAAAAAAAAATTTCAATGGATTTAAGTGTGATCCATTTCAAGCTGTTAAACAAGCTCAATTTTATTTTACTAAATTTTTGGATATAATAAATTATAAGTAGTTAGAATGTCCTAAAAATTATGTTCCCATACAAGTTTTAATAGCTTCTCGGTAACAGTGGTCCGCTCCATTACAAGGAATGGTGAAATTGAATATCGATACAACATACAACAGTTAATCAGGAGAAGATGGGGGTGGTTTGCTTCCAAGAGATCATTTTGCATGATCTATTTAAAGTAGCATTAATTTTCTTCTTCAGTTTGGCTACGACCTCAGCACCAGAAGCTTTTGTATTAATGGGGGCATACTAATGTTGAAGTAGAATGAGATTGCAAGTCGATCATGCAATTAAGAGCCATGGACTTTGCAACTCAAAGTTTTATTGGAAAATACTGAAATTACGTTGAAGCGATTACCAGGTTGTCTGCTGCTTTGAAACCCTATAAGTAAGACTAGAGTGGCTCACACAGTAAGTAATAAGGCTTTATTGGAGAAAACTTCTTATTTAACTTGGACTGTTTGACAACCTTGACTATTAGAATTGTTACAATTTGATTGTACTAACTTTCTTATAACTTAATAAAATTTGCCTTGTTAATAAAAAAAATGGTAACCTAGCATAGTAAAACATTTTGGAACGATCATACAACACAATCTTTAAGAGAGAAAAAAATATCTTAGCATTTGAAAAACATTAAATTTTAGCCTAAATTACCTAATAAAATCTTTTGAAACCATTGTACGGCACTTTAGGATCTTCAAAAGAAGATATATCTATATATATAATAAAGGAGAAATCACCAATCCAACACATATAATATATGCAACCATCCAACATATAATAGTATTGAGCCAAGCGTGCATGTTAGAAGTTCAAAAGAAACTATTAATTACTCGTACAAGTAAAGAACAACTTATGTTGAAATTTCATCACAAACTATCAAATTACCCTCGTGTGATATCCTCACTTGGCAATTCATGAACAAAAAAAATTGTGCTTCTCTTACCATACGTACTCCATCGTAATCCTCCTAGTTGAGGAATAAAAAATTTAAATATTAAATTCATAAATTAAAATTCATACCATTAAAGATTACCAATTATTAAATTCATACTAATGGAGGATCCTTTCATCTAGCATATTGTGGCGTGTGGTCCAAGAAGTTCTCAATAAAACGGATCAATTCCATAAAAAAAAATTATCATAGGATTTGACTACTGTGAGAGGTTGATCATTTTGCCTAGATATTTGAAGATAATGTTGAGTCTTAAACTGAAAGTCACAAACATCTTTTACAGTGGACCCCTTTTTAATCACTTTGTTCTATATAGGACCCATTTGTGTTTATTTTGCCTTTTACCTTTTACCTTTGACCTTTTTTTGTTTGCAAGAAACTCACACCCTCATTACAAAATATAAAGAATAGTAAATAGTTTATATATATATATATAAGGTACAATTGAATGTAAAAAATGAAAAAAAGTATATTTGAACATCATTTGGGCATGCCATCTAAGTAATATTGTAACATCCAACACTAAAGCACATATTTGTTATCTTATGCTATGATATTTAATTTATGGCGTTGTCTACTTAACCAACCAGAACATTTTGAAGTAATAATATAAACTTTTTTTACTAATTTATTAGATAAAAAAAAAGCCAAGACTCATTGCTTCACGATTGATAAGAACTCAAAGCATGAGGAAATATTTTTAATTCTAAAGCAATCACTTTATTGAATATTATGTTTGTTTGAGATTTTTTTTTCGCCTGGATTTGAGTGATTTTTTATTTTTATTTTTATTATATTCAAATTTACTTTGTACCAAAATTGATAGTACTCTAGGCTAAATAATATAATTCTAAAAAAAACAAAGTGGGATTTGGGCTCCACTTTTGCAAGTGCTATCTTCTAGCCCTTGCAATGAGTCAACGACCTAAGTTGAGAACAAATTACCATTGCCTAAGGCCCCCTAATTGGTGTCTCCAATTTGGGCTGGATGTTTGTAGCCCAAAAGAAGCCCACTGATCATTATTAATTCCATGCCCAGTCAACTGATCCATACAAATTCCAAGCCCAGACCACTGATCCTTATTACTTCCAAGCCCAGCCTACTGATCCATATTAATCCCAAGCCCAGACTGCCTAGTCGTCTGGACTCGAGTGTTTACAAAGAAATAAGAACAAAATAAATCACTTTCTCTCTCATTTTTTTCTCTCTCACACACACACCTAGTAGAGACGAAAGGCAGGCCTCTGAATCAGAGGAAGTGGTCGCGGATCCTTTACAAGCAGCGACACGACGACTCCTGGTTATCTATTTACTCTCTCTCTGTATCTTTCGCTCTGTAGATATTCAGATGTACACACGCATATGTATCACCTTTTCATTCTTGTTTTACAATATAATTTTATAATCCATTGATCTACATCGTGAACAATCAATAGAGCAACTGCTGAATCCTTAGGGTTTGTGCTTTAGAAATTGAGTTTCTAATCGATTCTTTACATTTCCCCAAAATTTGGACGTTATTCTGTATATAAATCCTCGGATTCGTTCCAGATCTCAGAGTCTTCACCTAGCAAATATTTTCAATTACCTTATTTACTTGCTAAGAGAACGTAGGAACTGAATAAATTGAACGAGTTTACGCAACTAAGTAGGGTAGTTGAGTAGATTTTTTCCCATCTTGGGTCCCAAATAATGAAGAAATTTAAATTATTTTGTTTTCCTAGATTTTCTAGGAAAACAAATGGAGCTTGGTTTTTCTTCACATATGTTACTTAGCTGTTGGAGGTTAAGATCTTCTCTCTTATCCTTTGTTTTTCTCTCTCTTTTGCCTTATTTTTATCATAATAGAATTATGGTCATCTGAAACCAATGTGATTTCTGTATGATTCGATGTTAATTGGTTTTATTTTAGAGATTGAACTAATAATACAGATTGAATTTTCTATGGTTTATGATCTACATTATGGCACAAGCTGACTCCTTTTTATTAATTGTTTGAAGCTTTGTGAAAATTGTGTGATACGATGGCGATGGTAGACGAGCCACTTTACCCAATAGCTGTTCTGATAGATGAGCTGAAGAATGATGATATTCAGTTACGTTTGAATTCGATTCGGAGGTTGTCTACAATTGCGCGTGCTCTTGGGGAGGAGCGAACACGGAAGGAATTGATCCCATTTTTGAGCGAAAACAATGACGATGACGATGAGGTGCTTCTTGCAATGGCTGAAGAGTTGGGTGTGTTTATTCCGTACGTTGGAGGAGTGGAGCATGCCCATGTCTTGCTCCCGCCTCTGGAAACCCTTTGCACTGTTGAGGAAACTTGTGTGAGGGACAAAGCGGTTGAGTCATTGTGTAGAATTGGATCTCAGATGAGGGAGAATGATTTGGTTGATTGGTTTATTCCTTTGGTGAAGGTTAGATAAATGCTCTCCTATATTTTTAGTTTTTTGTTTCTGCTGCTCCTTCCTATTGTTATTCATCTTCAAGCAACATATCTGCAGCAATTTTTAATTGTCAATCTCATACATGGCACCTGAATTTTGTTTCTCACTTGTTACACTGATGTCTCTTTCTAAACTGCATATCCTCACTACAATGTTAGATTGGCTTTTTTTGGGTCTGAAATTTTGGTTAGAAGAAGTGGATAGTAGATTTTGAGTTACTTAACATGCATGTTGCTCCTTATATTATTTTACTTCTAATCAAGGTAGTTGCTCCATGTTTGTAAATATTTCTTCCTGCATTTCTTATTTCATCCTTTGTAATAAGCTCTTCTTGTTTATCCCTCTGATCTTATCCCTTTTAATTATTTTTAACTTCCCTTATATTTTCGATTTACCTTCTGCAGAGACTGGCAGCTGGTGAATGGTTTACTGCTCGAGTTTCCGCATGTGGACTGTTCCATATTGCTTATCCTAGTGCCCCGGAGATGCTAAAGACAGAATTAAGGTCAATATACAGCCAGTTGTGTCAAGATGACATGCCTATGGTGAGGAGGTCTGCTGCAACAAACTTGGGGAAGTTCGCTGCAACGGTTGAACCTGCTCATCTGAAGACTGACATCATGTCAATATTTGATGACCTTACACAAGATGGTAAATGAATTTCTACGTATTGTTTTTCATAACGCCTAATCTCCCAACTCATGTTCAGATGTATGTTTAAATTGGTGTATGAAAGTTCATTGTACTGAAAATTAGGGAAGCAATTCTTGGGACATTTCCTTCCTCTAGCAGTAGATGTGATTCTTGTCGAATCTTAGAACATTGAATATTGATTGAAAGAGTAAGTTAGTGGACCATTATGAATTAACATACAGATATATAATCGTAATTGGCAAGCAGAACATAGAATAGTATAGAATATATATTTGAAATGGGTTAGGAGCCAGGGGATATGATGACTACAAACTTTCTCCTACAGGAGAATGGTAATAGTATCAAGGAGGAAGGGATGGTTTTAGATGAAGAGGCCTGTTAGCATAGCTGGTTAATGTTGAACGCCATCAATTTCCAAAACTGCCTCATATCATGAACCTGCACCTTGTTCATATATATTGTGTATACATAAACCCACAACTCGCATGCTGCAATGCATTAAGGGATTATCATCATGTTTTTCCATAAAAAAATTTGTTGGGAACTTGGGATTATACTTTCTACTTTCAGTTAATAAGATAGCCAGTTTTTCAATGAACCTTGAGCATGTGTCCGTGGATATGGAAACATATTGTTCTATAATTATCTTTTAACAATATGATTATGTAATGAGCATGACTGATGGCTGGCCCATTCTCTGATACAGATCTCAAGTAACATAGTGTCCACCAGTTGTGTAGATTCATTTGTTAGTGAATTTACAGCAAGCTAGATCAAGATATAGACAGAAAGGCTAAAGCTTGTTATTAATAATAAATAACCAGAAGGAACTTTAGCTTTATAGCTTAAAACTTCCATTACATTATGAGAATGGAGAATCCAGAAAGGTTCGACAGAAAATAGAGTGATTTATAGAAAATGGGTGGTAATTCTAAAAAAACAGCCATAATTAATAACTTCGACTCTATTCAACACGTTTCTTCAAAGTCATACTTTGATAACATTTTCAGAAAATATATTTTTAAAAGGTCTTTGGAAAAATTAGATGGTAGTTCTAAGCAAAATAATCACTAATAACTTTGAAATTGCTTCCAGTTCATACTCTGCTAACCTTTAGAAACTAGTAGAGATTAGAGTATAGCATGAACTTGTGGCAATTAAATAGCTGTGTTTTCATTAGTGACCAAACGAAAATGACCTATTACTGGTACTGGCTTTTGACTTTCAACTAATTGGAATCTATCTTCGACGCAGGTCATTTGATGTTATTGTACAAATATGTTTCTGACAAATAATCATTTCTATTTTCTTCATAAAGGGAATGCAATATGTTTTAAGATGATGGTTATTTGTTCACTCTTTTACTTATCAAAAAAAAAAAAAAAAAAGATGATTGTTATTTGTTCACTCATGTAGTTTTCCCATTATTTTCCATGTTTTTTTTCCCTTGAATAGGTCACTTTTCCAATTTTCATTACATGTTTTATCTGCTAAATATGGGGTTTTGTAATTGGTGTCCATTTTAGATCAAGATTCTGTTCGCTTATTAGCTGTTGAGGGCTGTGCTGCTCTTGGCAAGTTGTTGGAGCCCCAGGATTGTGTTGCACACATTCTTCCCGTCATTGTCAACTTCTCCCAGGTGTGCTATGGATCAATTATTTCTTCTTAAGTTATATATATATTAATTTTGTTTTACGTTGCTTTATCGTCATTTGGTTCTTTACATCTGGTAACTCATTCTCATAAGTTACTCTCCAGATAAAATATATATTTGTCATATTTTCTATTAGAAATTATATTCATAGTTTCACAAGCAAATTTTTTGTACCTTCTTCATGGTGTACTATTTTGTGAATTGTTGCTTGATTCAAGTAGCATATATTGTATGTGAAAATAATTGATGGCGTGTTGGGTATGATATTTGTTTTTTGTTTTCCTTGTTTTGATAAGTTTGGTGTGGGTAGTAACTGATTATGTACAGATTCATTCATTCGTAACTTTGCATACTTTTCGTGTTACCATCTTAACACTTAATTGATGTTTTGCTATATTCTCTCCCACTATGATGAAATCAGGCATGTGTTTTTTTATCTTTTCCCCTGATCTACTTCAGAATTGTTGAATCATTTTAGAATAAAGAAACTTCATTAGTGCATTTGTATAAATTGTATAGTGCGTAAATACATGTACTAATTTCTGTATTATTCTTGGTTGTGTAAGATGATTCAGTAATTTGCATGAAAACAAATATAGATATAATTGAATGGAGGGGTGATGTCATTCAAATTGAAGGTGCTACAATGAAATAAAATAAGCCAAAAGGAGGAGTTATGACAGTCCATAAGCCATGAATGAAGAGGCCTAAATAGATCAATACTTAAAAGGTTTTGTTCAAAGCCAAATGGTCTGTTTGTTTTCTTTGAATGTTTTCTCCCATGTTTTGGACCAATTTTTCACTTTGGTTAAGTGGCTGTAAATTCGAAATTACGAAGTCACCACAAGTTTTGACAAATCATATTCTAGTCAAAGTAAACCTTATAAATAGTAAATATTTACATTTTCAATAATTTCCCACCAGTGTAAGCTTAAAATTCAAGTTACAAATAGTGCCCAAGGGTACAATAGTGACATAATTATTATTTAACGGTAGCATTTTATTTAGATTGGCATGATCTCAGTTCCAATAGATTGGAAGGAACTTACTTTTTTGTTGTAGGCCTCAAGCATAATATGCAATTGTTATGTAAGGTGTGCAAGGTTGGAATTGTCAATTTCTACGAGTTTCTACACAAGAACTGGGATTTGTAATCATTAGTCATACATGGGACTTGGACCAGTTGGGGAACCCTTACGAGTTATAATTTTCAGGCAATTAGTCAAACGAACAACCTAACTTTTAGGAATTTTTGGAACATGGAAAAAATTAATTTTTTACCCCCCATTATGGGGTGCCACAATATCCCTTTCTTGATTGAATAAAAAGACTGTTGGAGGGTAAATCTGATCCATTTGAAACGGTGGAAATAACTAAAAGTTAAGAAAAAGCTTGTAGATTACTCCAGTTGGTTTGCTCTCATTTGAGTAGCATTCTGATGTGTATGATATTATGGATGATAGAAAGCAAGGTTTGCTAGATAAAACTTGTTGAATCGGCAAAGGTATGGTGGTGACTGCTTTTGAAAAATGGCTTACTTCACTCATTTTTCAAAAGCTTCAGATTCTGTCCATATTACTCAACCGTTCTTTAAAAGTAAGTAGTTCATGGGGGTCTAAAGCTATTATTTTGGACAGTGATGCGAAGTTTACAAGTTCTTTTTGGCATACTTTGTGGAAATTTCTCCATTCAAGTTTGGGATGTTCTTCTTTTTACCTACAAATTCTGGTCAAACAAGGGTAGTCAATTGATGTTCCTCTGGTCTTCTTTGATGTTTTATTGGTGGTCATGTTTCTAATTTATAACAAATTGGTAAATAGGTCCTTGGTCAGCCTCTTTGAAATTTGGACTCGTTTACTTCATAGATTTGGTGCTGCACATTGAAGTATCACCAAAAAAAAAAAAAAAAAAAAAAAGCGCTTCAATTAAAAATAAAAAATGGGTATCCCTAAAGCTGAAGCTTGATTATTAATGACATACAGGATGATATTCAGTGGGAACCTTTACTTATAAAAAAAGAAAAAAAAAGAAAAAGAGATTCAATGGGAACCTGCAATAAAAAATGAAAATTTTCTAGGCATAGGCAGATTTGAGAAGCAGGTTTGCTGAATTTAATGAAAGAGACAATGGCTGTGATACACATTGGCCTAAAATATATCTTTAATGTGCCTATAAGAGCTCCATTCAAAAAGTGCATGTTCTTGCAAAAGTCTCAAGAAAATCAACTCCGTGCTTAAGTTTTTGGCTTACCAAAAAACATGGGCATAATTAATATTTTCAATATCTATAATTTGTGTCCTTGAGGGTGGGCCTTGGCGCGATGGTATGGTTGCTCCATTGTTACCCGGATCTCATCCGGGATGCTTGGAGGGCTACCCCTCTCTGTATTTGGTTGTGCATTTGGCTTGAGAGAAATTGGAGATATTTCGATGGCAAGGAGAAATCCATTTCTATGCTTAAGTTCTCTATTATTTCCACTTTTTTTGTTGGGTCTCAGGGAGATATTATCGTTTTGTTGAGGAGATTGTTATTTTTTTGGCCTCTTTGAAGGCTTGAGGCTTTTTGTGGCCTTTTGTTTCCATGGGTTTCGTTCCCCTTTTGGGCGCTTTTTATAAAATTCTTACTTATCAAAAAAAAAATGAGATTGAAACAAACAATCTATGTGCATACAGAGGTAAGAAAGGTAAGATTGCTTACATCTAACCTTTCCTAGACTCCACAATGGTGGGAGTCCCGTGCACTAGGCTAGCCCTTTAGAATTTGAGTCCATCCACTAGTCTTGTTGATGATACACCTTAGGATCCTCCAATTATATCTCCCACAGCACCAGGTTTGAAGGATGGTTTGTTCATCATCTGTTTGTATTTACCAGTGCAGGTGCCTATGGAAAGTATATCATCAAATGGAATGGATGCCTGTTTTTAGATTGTACATGGATCAGTGACGATTAGTTCCAACACTCAAACCATGACTTTTTTGATCGGTTTCCATGCATATATCTTATTCGGGATTTGGGGTTCGGGATTTGGGGTTGAGTTTTCTCAAGCTGGGGATGGATTATGGAGATAAATGGCAGCGGTTTTTTAAAGTTCACAAAAAGGACCATAAGGATGCTATCAAGGCCTGAGCCTTGATTTGGTAGGTGTTATAGATGCAGTTTCCACTTGGACCTTGCATAATTAAGACTGAGTCTTGCCGAGTCATATTATATGCCTTCTTTAAGATGGAGTCATAACTAGATGCATTTTATTATATATTCTATGGTTTAGAGATATTTTTACAAGTAGTTTTCAGGTTTTCTGGTCTTGGTTTATGGTGATGGCCCATTTGCCTTATATGTGATATCTTCTCTACAATTAATTTTTTGAGTTGATTTTGTGCTGCTGAATAATTACTATTTGTGATGATGTTTTTAAGAGTATTATTTCTTGCATAATTTATTTTTTATTGAGACTGCTCAAATGATGTTGTGATCCTTCCAGAGCATCTATTACTTGATATTCTTTTAGTTATCTTCTAAGACATTTTATGTTCTGCTTGTTCTAGTTTATTTTTTATAATGTTTATGTTCTACAGGATAAGTCATGGCGTGTACGATACATGGTTGCAAATCAATTGTATGAGCTTTGTGAAGCTGTGGGGCCTGAGCCTACCAGGTATCTGTCTATTGTAAGATGCCAAATTGGCACACTTTTACTGCATTCTTGTAATTTGGCACATAATATTTTGGTTACATTTATTCTATTCACCATGTTTTCTATCTACCATATTGGCAACACGTGGAAAAAGAATTCAAGAGCATTATTTTTTCGTCTTATCTTTTGTGATTTTCTTGGTGCTGCATTATTGGTATCCTTCCATCTCTTTTGAAATGTCAAATTGATGGTGATCATAATTTTGTTTTAAGGACGGATTTGGTTCCTGCATATGTGCGTTTGCTTCGAGATAATGAGGCCGAAGTACGTATAGCAGCCGCTGGTAAAGTCACAAAGTTTTGCAGGATTCTTAATCCAGAACTTGCAATTCAGCATATTCTTCCCTGCGTGAAGGTGCAGTCATCTGTGAAATGCTTCTCTCTCTCTCTCTCTCTCTCTCTCTCACACACACACACACACACACACACATTCCATTGACTTTCTGTTCGCCTTCAACCATCTTTTCATTTGGCAACATCTTGTAGGAATTATCATCAGATTCTTCCCAGCATGTTCGCTCTGCTTTGGCTTCAGTTATTATGGGAATGGCTCCTGTACTAGGAAAGGTAGAATATCCTATGATCATTTAGGCAGTAACTTTTGGTTGAGGCTATTATTCGTCTTTTTCTTGCGTGTTCGGATTCAATTAGCATATTTTAAGTTTGCAACACTCTTATTTCTGGGTGCAATTTTTTTTTTTTTTTTTTTTGTTAACTGCTTTTTATAATATTTAGTAAATCTATTTTGTATTTCCCCGAGTTTTTGTCGGCTTAGTAGCAATATTATTATTATTATTATTATTATTATTATTATTTTTATTTTTTATTTATTTTTTTTTCTCATGAGCAAGAATCTTTTGAATGGATAATTTCACCTATGTAAAATTAAATCCAAAATTTTCATTAGGTAAAATACAGTGTTGTTAAGATCCCTGATTCTATGAAGATTTTTTTTTTTGGTAAGTTTTGTTTATTCAATTTGGTGGTTAATGCAGGATGCAACAATTGAACAGCTTCTTCCAATATTTCTTTCCCTTCTGAAGGATGAATTTCCTGATGTGCGCCTTAACATTATCAGCAAGCTTGATCAAGTCAATCAGGTTTGTGACAGTTTGAGGTGTTGGACCTCATTCTACCGTTCTTCTATTCGGTCCTTTTCACTTGTTTACTTATCAGTTTTCAATTTTCCCCTCTCAACCCAACATTGCTGAATTGTTTCTTAAACAACTTTAGCAAGTTTATAATCAATGAAAATTGTACTGCAAAATCACATAAAAAAGAAAATTGAGCTTCAAAGAGGAGTAGATGAAAACTTTATGAACTAGAACATCATTTAAATTTAACCAAAATAACAATAATTTAAGGTGTGTTCGAAAATAGAATGACTTCTTTTTATATTACATGCATAAATATAGAGAAACTTTTAAGTGTAGAGAGAGAGAAGCAGAAAAAAAGAGGATTGTGAAATTAGATAGAGAAACTTGATAGAATAAAAGATCTTCAAGGTGGGTGGCTCCATGGGATGAGAAAACTCTAGTTGCATCATAAAATAAGTTGAAGATGGAGTAGATAATGTAATAACATTTAATAAGAATGCAGTTCAGAATTACCATTCCAAAAACGCCTCACCAGCTAGTGGCTTTAGTTTAACTTTGGTGAATAGGCAATAGCAGCTATGTTCTTGTCCCTTCTAGATTCCACTTATTCACGTTATGGATTTTTTATTTTAACTAATTCTAGGAGAAGAATCCTCGTAAGCTTTGTCCACGAATGTTGATGAGGGTCAATGAAAGAGATGCATAAACATGAAAAACACATTAGAAAATTTTAGATTTAAATAATTTTAAAATTTTTAGACATGCATGTAACTTAGATTTTTCTCTCCAAGGATGGGGCCTTACATAAACATATTTTGTATAGATGGTGCCACAACCAAGTTCTAAATTTTGGTGGGAGCTCTAGTCTAATCTGTTGAAACCAGAGGGATAAAATCACCTTTGCCCTTGCTTTAATGCTATCTACTTTTACAGACGTTCTGAGCATATCTTTACATATTGTTATAATGTGCTCTACTCTTTTGAAAACTTTTTTTTACATTTTTTCATAATACCTACGGCTTATGCAGCTCTTTTTTTTGGTATATAAAAAGTAATTTTCGTAAACGGCTTAGCAGCTCTTACCAATGCATGCATTGTACTTTTAAATTTTTTTAGGCATTTGTCTCTTTAAACTTTACCATGCACTCTGCTTATGCGTTGCCCCCTTGTAACCCCAAGATTTAGTTATATATTTTTCCTCCAATCATAATGAAATTGATGAAATTATCCATTCTTGCAGGTTATTGGAATTGATCTTTTGTCCCAATCTTTATTACCAGCTATAGTTGAGCTTGCAGAGGATAGACATTGGAGGGTCCGGCTTGCAATAATAGAGTATATACCTCTATTGGCAAGTCAGTTGGGTGTAGGGTTTTTTGATGATAAGCTTGGTGGTCTCTGCATGCAGTGGTTACAGGACAAGGTTTGTGATCTTTTATCTTGTTCTATATATAAGCACTTTGAAATGTATGGGTCATTATTTCCTCTTTTACTTGCATGTATTGTCCTTGACAATATATTTGCTTCTTTTGTTTGTCCAGCAATGGTTACGTTTGGGTGTGCTTCTTTATATTTCTTCGTTTAATGAGCATTGTTTTATTTATCAGAGCCAAATGACAGGGATAAGTGATCAGAATAATGCTGCAAGTTGAACATAAGAGTTTTTTGTTTTGTTAAGAAAATTGAACATATATGATATATGACAAACTAAAAGCTGATTGTGAATCCGAATCACAGAATTTTCCTTGAATTCTCTCAAGTCCTAATCACAGAATTTACCTTCAATTCTCTTAAAGTGTGGAAGTCTGGCAGGGTTCACCTAATTATTTTATCAATTTTTTGCCTATATTTCATACCAGCCATTAGTGCCTAGTTTAAAAGAGACGAGCAATGTTGACCTAGACGTGAACGGTCTTAGATCTATTTTTTATAATATTTCTATAGCTTATTGTTTTGGATATCTGGTGCAGGTTTACTCAATCCGAGATGCTGCGGCTAATAACTTAAAGCGCCTTGCAGAAGAATTTGGTCCGGAGTGGGCAATGCAGCATATTATCCCACAGGTTTTTTCTAATGGCTTTTGACCAAAAATTTCATCCACTTTCTCAAAGTCGAACTTTTGTGATGGGCATTTTGGTGATATTTCTGTTGTGCCCATGGATTTTGGATTAAATATTTCAGTCCACATCTTGTTTCTGTATAATAACTGGTGGTTATCAGAGTCCAGAGGTTGAATGGAATAAGCAATCCCATCAGCCTAGTAGTCGTTTCATTTTATAACTGTGCAATCTTCAATGATTGGTCAATGGACCAACTACTTTTGTCATTGCATTATATTATTAATCTGATTTAAATGAAATCACAGGATACAGATTTGTAAATAGACTTATTTTGCTTCAATTCTTTGTGCCGTTTAAGTTTCCTTCGTGTGCCATGTATAGATTGTTTTTGTTTTGTTGATATCTTAATGATTGTTTGCTACTTGTGAATTGTTTCATGCTCTTGGAATCTTTGTGCTATTCGCTATTTGCTCAAGAAATAACCATTGGATTTTAATCTGGGCAGGTCTTGGATATGATTAACAATCCACACTATTTGTATCGGATGACCATTCTTCGTGCAATTTCTTTATTGGTCCCAGTCATGGGCCCGGAAATTACATGTTCAAAGTTGTTGCCTGTCGTCGTTACTGCATCAAAAGACAGGTAGATGACTCTCTTTGACTTCATTTATTCATCATGATGCTATTCTAGTTTCTGGTAGTTTTGAACGGGGCCTAATTGCTCTTTACAGAGTGCCGAACATCAAGTTCAATGTGGCGAAGGTGTTGCAGTCTCTCATTCCAATTGTTGACCAATCTGTAAGTATCTATTTTTTTTACCCTCAGTAGTTTTCTATGTTAGCGCGCGTGTGTGAACTTGAAAGAGGTCTACTAATTTATTCCTATTGTCATTTTCACTAAAACTTCTGTAAAAAATGCAGGTAGTGGAGAAGACAATCCGTCCCTGTTTGGTTGAGCTTGCTGAGGACCCAGATGTTGATGTCCGTTTTTTCGCCAACCAAGGACTTCAGGCAATTGATCATGTCATGATGTCGAGCTAAGAATTTACCTCTAGAACTGGTATTTGCATTAACAGCCCTTTTGCTAAAGGTGCTATAATTCTGCTATTTGTCTTCTTTCTTGATGCTGAGAGGGGTATTGCTGGGACTAGCATGTAGAGATATCTTATATATGGTTTCTGAAGAAATGTGGTGTTGTTTGCAAGACATCAGTTTTGTTTTGCCTCGTAGATTTAGTGTTTCCGGTTTTTATTATTTATTTATTTATTTTTATTATTATTATCCTTTTTGGTAATTAAAAAGCTAGTGTCTTGAGATACTGACAAACAGGAACCTTATACATTCTGTTAGATGATTTTAACAATTTCCTCAATGATTATAACCTGTGGAAGCAAGGGTCTTTTTGAATTTGGCACTTGAAATCAATAGTTGTAAAGTTATAAGGACATGGCTAATGATTTTAATCTCGAAATGAGCCATGTAAGGTTGTTGTCGTGATTGAACCGAGAAGGATGTGTGTGTAAGACTATGTTTACTGAGAGCAGAGGTAGCATTGCAAGAAATTGTAATGAACATAGAAAACATGTGGTAGAGAGGGATGTATCGAAATTAATCGGGATGTATCGTAATTTGAAGGAGTTGTCCATAGAAACCGTTTGTTAGAAAAGGATGCGTCGAAATTTGAGGTAGCGTTGCAAGAAATTGTAATGAATATAGAAACCATGTGGTAGAGAGGGATGTCTCGAAATTAATCCGTGTGTTCGAAAGGGATGTATCGACATTTGAAGGAGTTGTCCATAGAAACCGTTTGTTAGAAAAGGATGCATCGAAATTTGAGGTAGCGTTGCAAGAAATTGTAATGAACATAGGAACCATGTGGTAGAGAGGGATGTATCGAAATTAATCCGTTTGTTCGAAGGGGATGTATCGACATTGGAAGGAGTTGTCCATAGAAACCGTTTGTTAGAAAAAGATGCATCGAAATTTGAGGTAGCGTTGCAAGAAATTGTAATGAACATAGAAACCATGTGGTAGAGAGGGATGTATCGAGGTTAATCCGTGTGTTCGAAAGGGATGTATCGACATTTGAAGGAGTTGTCCATAGAAACCGTGTGTTAGAAAAGGATGTATCGAATTTGAAGGTGAAGAGAGTTTGTCCTCGACACCGATATTTTTGATTTAGGAAACGTTGACAATCCTTTTGGGGAGGTGGTTGTTCTGTCATATCGAAGTGTTTTGGATTTTTGAATGTGTCTGGATGCTCGGATTTTTGAATGTGTTTGGATGCTCCTCCTCCTCCTCATTATTATTATTATTATTATTTTTTTTGGTGTGTGTGTGTGTAGGACTTTAAGGTAACGCAGGTAAAAACATGTACTAAAAACTCGTCTCCAACGAGACCGAGTACTTGCTTCGGCTCTGACAGCTCCTCCTCTTCCTCCTCCTCCTTTTTATCCGCCATTGAGACACTCTCGCTCTAACCCCTCTCTCTCTCTCTGCAATAAAAATTTTACAATCCTCTGCCAGCCTTGACAAGTTAGGGTTTTGATTTGACACAAATTTACGGATATTTGTGTGTGCTCATGTATTAATATGTATATACAGATCTGAAAATTTATATATACCTATGCAAATATAATATATATATATATATATATATACACACACACACACAAATACACTGTTATTTGCCATCTTTGATTTTGTGGTCTCTGAAAATTCATATATATTTATTCGTAGAATCAACAAAATATGCACACAAACATTCACACAATATTTCTCCTATGCACTGTGGGATTTTCATGATCACCTCCCTTTGGGACCCGTCATTGTTGCTAGGTGACTCTCATGAGTTACATTCACACAATTTCTCTCCTATGCGGTGTGGGGTTTTCACAATCACCTCCCTTTAGGACCCGTCATTGTCACTAGGTGACTCTCATGTTTCTTATATTCTGGTTGAGTTTGCTCTGACCTTTATGAGTTTGTGTATGCTCTTCTTATATTCTGGTTGAGTTCTTCGAAACCACTATCAAGATTCGTCTCACACTATGCATATATTGTGATTTGGATTAAAACTCTCTCATGCCTAACATTAAATCGGTGCTCTCAATTTAGTAATGCACGTCTAACGCTGTGATGTTATAATTGCATTTCAATATTTTCCTAACATGCATCACTAAATAGAGGGAGTTGATCATAAATTTTTTTTTTATCTATTTGCACTCTCTTAATATTCACGATTTTTAAAACGCATCTCCGGCGGTAAAATATTACTATAATTTTGTTATGGTGTTCATTTTGCACCTTTGTGTTCCGTGAACACATTGACGTGCTTCATAAATTTCTGATTTGTGTTGGTATCCACGTGTGTGCTTCACAGAATGTAATGAATGTCATGGTGAGTTGTCATTTCTTGGACCAAAAAGATGGGGACGCTTGGAGTCTGAGTTGAAAAACAGTGGGAAGCAATGGTAAGTTGAGCTGCCTCACTCCACGTGAAATTTTGAAAGGGTAGTTGCAAATGTGCGTACGTTGAAAAGGCAATGGTTTTAATTAGCTTGACCGGATGATATTCCCTTTTGGAACAAAAACAGGATGGGATGATTGATTGAGCTATCAAACTGTAAAATTATCATAATAACTCTATATTATTTTTAAGACAGAAAGTAGAACACCTTTAATATTTAAATTTTAAACAATTAATATCCTATCTTTTATGTTGGATATATAAATGTGTTAATTTTGAAAAAATGAGCAAAGAATCAAGCATGATATGTTTCTCTTCCGAAAATGTCCTTATATATATGTTATATATGCTGATGACCGAAAAAGCTACGTTATAGAACAGTTCCATTGGCAAGAGACCACTTCAAGAGACCTCAATCCGATGAGCTTCTGAACAACACCCCACTCCACCAAATAGTCCAGCGTGCTCCGAGTTCATAAACCTCCATTGTTTCTGGCGACGAGCTCTAACAGACAAAACAACAAGCTCCTCAGTCCTGTAGCAGCGACTTTGGGTCTCGATGTGGAGGAGTTGGCGACCCAACACAGTTGGAGAGGAATGACGACTTGGGTCGCCGTCCACGGTGCTTACGAGGTCGTTCTCCGGCGACCTGGTTGATGGGCAAGTGGCAACAACCTTGGGTCCCTGCAAATGAGAAACAAGCAGCGGGTCGCTGCTTACATGCAGTGACCAGGTTGCTGCAAGGCCTGGCGACCCTGTCTGGTTGCTGCCTTCGGTGACTGGATTCATAGCATGCTGGAAACAAAAAAAAAAAAAAAAGAAAAAAAAAAGATGACACTTTAGTCAATTCATAATTAATTAGCTTTTATCTATTTTTTTTAATTCAATTATAGAGGAATACTTTAATTTTTTCATTATTAAGGTCATTGTTTGCTCCAAAATCAAATGTTAGGGACTTTTAAAAACCTATTGGGGGTTATATACCCTATATGCATACAATAAAGTGTTTATTGATTGTGAGGTACATTTCACATGCAATTCGGTTGATCGAGTAAAAACTAGTAATTCTTGGATATTGATGACATGGTGTTGGGCTTTTTAGTTAAATACATGCAAAATAATTTTTTATATTAAGCGTTTTTGGGTTATTTTTGGTAGATTTTAGACATCATTTTTATAATTTACAGTCTGCTTAAGAATTTTCTGGAGTGATCTCAAGGGTCCGTTTGGTTAGACGGAAATTTATGATAGAAAGTGAAAGTGAAAGAAAGTGAAGTAAGAGAAAGGAAAATCAAGTTTCTTACATGCATTTGGTTAGCAAGAAAATTTTTTAAGAAAGTTATGGGAAAATATTATTTTATTAGTTTGGATAACATGAAAGGGAAAAAAAAATGATTTACTTACCAAAACTACCCTCATGATTTCAAATATTGAAAAATAAATTAATTTTGTATTGGATGAATCATCTTTATACTCAATTATTTATATTAATTTTTAGCAATTAAAAAGTAAAATAATGGATTAATAATAATAATAATTATTATTTATATTCATATTTAAATTAGACAAACTAAGGAGGATTATATTTTAGTTGTCAAATTCTTTTTATTTTCTGTTTTCAATAATAATTATTTATATTTATACGTAGAATATAATTCATTTATCATAACATACTCATGTTTTATCATAAAATAGTGGATTAATAATAATAAAAATAATAAAAATAATAATTATTATTATTATTCATATTTAAATTAGAAAAACTAGGAGGACTGCATTTTAGTTGCTAGATTTTTTTATTTTGTGTTTTCAATAATAATTATTTATATTTATATGTAGAATATAGTTCATTTATGATAACATACTCATATTTTATTGAATTATTAAATATATCTTTTTTTAAGCCCCCTCGAAGAAACATTAAATGCAACTATAGGATAAAAATTGTCATGCAAAAGTAATATATTTTATAATTCATGCATAATAATTTTATGGTTCATGCATAATTTATCAGTCCCCTTTCATATTTTTTATGAATATGAACCACTTCTATACAAAATTTTCTTTGCAAAAATTACACAGTATAAAACTCAATTCAGTTCAAAACTGTATAGATAGTAAAAAATAAATATTATATGGATTTCCATTCATGTGAAATTGTTATGTCATATAAATAATATGATGACTTAAATTAATCTCTTCCCATATTTCTATTGAGACATTGATAAAAATTAAAAGTTATATTATTTAATATTCTACCATTCCACTCTTAATTTATTTCCAAAAATTTTAGGTAACGACGTATTGGATATAATCAAATTATGTGTCCCAATATATAATAGTTGTTGGAATATTTTCTAAGTGTGAATTTAATAACCAGTGAAAAAAAAATGGAGAAACAACTGGGCATAATAGGAATTTTGGAAATAAAATGATAGTTTGGTGCGAGAAAGTAAGCTTTCTTATGTTTTATGCGGGGAAATATTTTGGGAAAATTTATTCATGCGGGAATCACACTTTCCCAAAATTTTTCCCTTTCCAGGTAACCAAACTCCTAAAAATTAATTTTCTTTTTTGTTTCTTTTCCTTTCTACCTACTTCATGCTAACCAAACGAACCCCAAGGAAATTGTCCTAGATATTCTCTGTGTGTTAAACATCATTAATTGAGTCAATTGACTAAGATTGAGAAACACAACAATTTTATTAAAAAAAGAAAAAAAGAGCCAAAACACAAAACCATAAGGAAAAAACAATCTAGGTATGTAGGCTGGTACATCCTACAAAAAAGAAAATTTGATTAAATATAACCG